AGGGGTTGGAAACTGTGTTGTAGCGCAAACAACTAAGTTTCACAGAATGCTTCAACACCTTTTCTAACACTAAACCAAACAGAACGAAAGCAAACAAAGACACAAAGATTTGTTTACGCAGTTCGGAGTCAACTCTCCTACGTCTGCGAGGCCCACATCCGTGTAATAACCTTTCCACTAGATCATCATAAGAATTACACAATCAAACTCAACAGATCCTTCTATTGAACAGATTTGTCTACTTACGTGATCAGACACCAAACTCTGTTTGTGTCAAACTAGGCCTATTACATCTTCTCGTTGCTCTGCAATAAGGATGTGTTCTTGACCTCTGCTCAGCCTCACAAAATGCACAAGCTGAACAAACCTTCAGAGAAGATCCATGGCTGATCTTCTTGCTGTAATCTCTCGTATGTGTATATGATATGCTCTTCTCTATGTTAGATCAACTCTCCGTATGTTCTCTCTTTCTCAGCCAAATATATTCTTTTCTCGCGCTCCTTCTGCCAAGCATTAATCTCTTATTTATATCTCTGGGCCAGCATAGGATGAAACCCTAACCTTTAGTCTGTAGAACTCTTACGCATACTGCTTCGTTGAGTCCAGAGAGGAGTCTTCGATTAAGCCAGTTTCTTGACAGACCAGGAATCATTCGTTGAGCAGATAACTTCCAGCGCGTCTTAGTCCCGGTTGCCATGCAGGATGACCAATAATTCTAACAACACAATTCTACTACCATAAGGACACTGCACTACTATCTACTAGTGGTTGTGTGTTGTCAAAAATAACGCCAATCCATATGCTAAATATTAAGGACCTAACACCACCTTCCCTAAAATTAAAGAATTACCTATTTATTATTACGGTATCTCAAAAACTCTTATTTGTTTGCATGTTTTTACTAATTATTTGATAAAATAAAATATTCTTGTCAGCTCTTATTTGTAGAGTTTTTGATGTAGTTTTTAAATATACGATTTTTATTTTTTATTAATTTACATATTTGTAAATAAAATTATTTTTAAAGTGACATGGTTTTGCACGTTGATCAACGAAGGTATTTTTTTTAGGGACAAAGAGAGTATAACTTTTGTTTGGGTATAGGTTTTAATCAATTATTCAAGAGAGACAATAGATACATCACCTATGCTAGAGGTACCCCATAAAATGTACACCAAAGCTATCCACTAACACTTCGACGATTCATACTGATACAATATGTTAGTGCGATTAAAAAGATCTGTACTAATATTTTGCATATGTATAAACCATACATGCAATATATAACTTGGGATACAATTTGGGGTACAAGTAAGTTATTTCAATAAAGGAGAGGGAGAAAGGATTAATGGGATGCATGTGAAAAAGAGAAAAGCATATTGGATTAATTGGACGCATGTGAAACAGAAGGGGTAGTGTTGTCGGTGAAGAAGATCTACCATTAGCAGCTCTCCTCTCTCCGTTGTGGTCCTAGCTATCTATCATACGCACTACTCTAGTACGGAGTAGTATTTACTAATTCCGTCCCACTATCTTTGACCACTTTTGACTTTTGAAACTGTTCATCTAAGCACTTTGACTCATCAAATTCTCTCAATGTATAAGCCTAAATATAGTCATGTGTGATCTTGTTTGATTTGTCTTAACATATAGATTATTAATATATAATTTCTATAATTTTTTAATATACAAATTACAAGATAAAATGAATTAAAGAAGTACATTGGATGTTGTGCCAAAAGGTAAGTGGACAAAAAGAGAGGAACCAAGAGAGTATTTATTTAAACCGGCCCACCCCCGCCCTACCCAATAAGGCCTAGCTAGTTATATTTGCGTACTATATATCTCTCCTTAGTAGGACTTCTCCAATTGGTGGAGTGGCATCCTCCAAGTGTATTGTGGAGTCATCACTCAATTATATATCTTCCCCCCCCTCTCCAATAAAGTTTCACTTTCCATTCTCGAAAGTTTCCTCAAATCTAATTAGACGGTTACTGAGAAAACGTAAATTAAATTTTAATCACAGATTGGTGATGAAGAATGAGGTTTGCACATGATATTCAAAGGGGGCAAACCCATACTGGTCTGAGTGGGGTCAGCCGGAGTCACTCAAATCCCGGGATGATCCTACATATATAAGAAAATTTTTCGGAGGTTAGATGCTTCAAAGCAGCGCTTACAGAAGATGAACGAAGAAACATATGTATTACGACTTGATAGTATAATAAATCCCGTAAATGCTTCTAGATCAAAGTTATTTCGGGTTATACGGTAAAATAATCAAATAGTTCTTATTTCTCAACCACTTGTTATGTGAGTACAAGGGATAATTTATACAAGAATAAGAATAGCCTAGGGTAGCCTAGAGTTTTCTAGAGTTATTCATAGTTAAGGTGTAATAATTACCTTAATCATGGTGGTATACATATGTTACAATATTATACATTAAATATAATAAATATTATATTTAACATATACTATACCAAAATACGACGTTAATCAAGAACAACACTTCAAATTATGTGGGCGGGGTGGGGGGTTTACTGAGGGAGTTGGGGGTAGGAATCGTCAATTTTACGAACGGGGCACCAGAGCGCCCCTGGGTCATCCCATGACATTGCTAAACAATATAATGGGAACCTTGCCGGAATAAGTTTAGGTTTGAATTCTACTCAAAACAATGTTTTAGATTGTTCAATTTTAATTAAATACTTTGTAAATTCAATGTATTGACCTTTTCTGTTGTGAAACTTGTGATTTCTTATCATGAAAAAATATATATTGCAATGAATAAAATAAAAATGTAAAATTTATTTTGAGAAGCACAAGCTCTATCAAATTTAAATTAATTATGATTAAAAGTTAATAAATAAGGACAAAAAAATAATAGTCGATCATAAAAGTAAGAAAAATATAAAATAAGAGATGAAATATTATAAAAGAAAATTATTATAGTTTAAAAACAATAAAATTCATACACACACACACACACATATACACTTCTACTTTAAGAGCCTGTGTGTAAATGTTAATACTTCTGCTTTAAAAGCCTATTCTTTAGGACTGGGAAAAAAGAGCTGGATTTTGGAAGAAACTGGAAAAAACGGGAAGGAACTGGAAAAAACTAGAAGCAACTGGAAAAAAAAAGAAGAAACCGGAAAAAACAGGAAGGAACGGGAAGAAACTAGAAAAATTTCAAAAAATTGAAAAATCTAAAAAATCTTTAGAAACATTTATTTTAAATTCTTGTTGTTATAAATTATTATTATTATTATACAAAAAAAGTATTGTTATTTTTTAAATACAAAAAACTACTTTTTCAAAAAAATAATTATAATATAAAGTTAGCATAAATATAAAAATATTAAATTTTAAAAAGTCTTTGTGGTTATATTGCACCTCAAATTATTTATGAAATATTTATTATAAATAATATATTTGTAAATATACTTTATATATTACAAGATTTTGTTTTAAATAGCAGACATGTCACATAATGTAATAAAACTTATTTTTTCTTTCATGATTGACATTTTATTTTCATTGAAGTCCTATTTTTGGAATAAAGACATAGAATTTTTTTCTCATTTTTATGTTTTACTCCTATTTTAGTCTTTTTCTCTAAACTATTTTGACTTACAATTTTTTTTATAAATTAGAAAAATGAGAAAATTTTAAGTAATAAAGGGAAATGTGAGAGATCTTATATAAAGTTAGATTAATAAAACATTTAATTTCACTATTTTATCCATAATTTTGTTAATATAATTTAACATATTGATGTTTTACTGTTTTATCATGTAGAGTAATATACAAAAATTCTCTTATTCATATTAAAAAATTGAAGAAAAGAAATAATGAGTGTGAATCATAAAAATAGTGAGATGAAAAAATAATTTATAAATTATAGTTATGAACATAACAGTTGTAAACGCCGCCTCCTTTCGGCGGGTTGGAGCGTTTTCCGGTCACCTCCGGCAAAATTAACGTCGCTCATCCCCTCCAATGTGTTCGTGGCATCTCGGCGACCCCCTAGGACCCTTCAATTGCAAGATTTGATGGCGAATTGCAAAAACCCCCAATTTCAAATTTTAGGGTTTTTTCGAGTGAAAAAATTCAAATTCGAGGAGTTGCAGGCCAAATTGGACAAAATGATTTGGATATTCTTGATCCTCATCTCAAGACGAAGAGAACGACGTTGGTCCCGCTGGAATCTGACCAAGTTGATTTTCCGGCGAGTTTGACGTGGTGCAACTACGGCAGGGAGCGGAAGAAAAGAAAAAAAATGGGGTCAAATTGAAAATTTTAAAATATATAAAATTTTAATTTGGCCCAAATGACCGGAAGTTAACCTAGAAACGGGCAAATGGACTTTTAGTGAAAGGATTGTGTAAGTTCAGTAATTTTTCTGAAAGGATTTGAAGTTTAGGTACCACTTCGAAATTCCAGCTAAAGTTCAAGTACCACTGGTGAAATTTACCCAACTTTCTTTGCATAAATAATATTCAAAAAACTTATTTTTCTGTTTTAAAAATGGGGAATTTACCTAAATAGCACTAAAACATAATGACTTTCTCTAAATAGCACTACATATTTTTTTTCTCAATGTAGCACTTTTAGTCATTATCCATTAGTCATTATTCAAGTGAATGTTTGCCATCACTGGTCATTATGGACATTATAGAGTGCTATTTAGGAAAGAAAACAATTTAAGTGCTATTTAGAGAAATGACTTAAGTCTTAGTGCTATTTAGTGCAAATATTTCTTTAAAAATTCAAGACATATCATGTATTCATCCGAAATGATTCGGTTTGGGTTCAGAACGAAAATAAAATTAAACTTTTTAAAACATTCTTTATGGGTCCGATATCATTTCAGTTCGTTTCAATACTATTACATAATGGTATTTTGCCACCCTAAATGTATCAATTATTTATTATTCAAAGTCAACTAAACTTGTAGGATATAATTGACGTAATTGAACGATGAGTTGGGGTCAAAACGGGGTGTGAGGGTTAACCTGGAGGTTTCAAGAGGTATGAAACATCAATTTTACGAGCTGAGCATCGTAATTTGTAAGTGGGCCAATTGAGTCGGTGTCCTTCGAAACCACGCAAATTGAGTGGCCTCAAGAGGTAGAATTCTAATTTTTTTTATCTCGCTTAGGCCCAATGCATCATTGGGCCAACCCTGAAGCTAGTCCTCTCATCACTTCTGGGTTAACAAAGTTCAAGGCAAAAGATCCATCACACCCGGACAATAAGAACAAACAGTGAAATAAAATGGCCACGTGGCCTTTGAACCCTCACCCGGCTTTGCCGGGAACCGCTGCCTCCACCGCAGCATCCGCCGCCGGCTGTTCATCGATTTCACGATGCTGTCCGTCTGTCTCCTTCCAGTATCCTCTTTGCCACCGTACGAAGAGCTTCTTATTACTCCCGCCGCCCCAATTTCACCGTTCATTTCACCGGCCCGCCGCAAATCGTACTGATCGGTCTCTCCGCTGCTCCTCCGGTTCTCCCAGGCCGCAGCCTGATCCTCCTGACCGAGGAAAATCATCTTCAGGTACTATTTATAAGAGCTCTTACGAAATTAATTTAGTTGGTTTTATTGTTTTTGGTAAAATTTACGGTAATCCTTTTGTTCTAAACATTAATGTTCTTAGATGGTATAGTGATTCTATAAATTTTTTTCTTCCACTATATTAAAAAAATCAAAATCATCATTCACTTATGTCCTGTGTGATTAATTTGAAAAGTGTTGTATGATTGTAGTAAGAAGGCACTGAAGTTGGATTTCATTCCTTACAACGTCGAGAGCTTGTTTAAATAGAGCCACGTTTTTGAGATTTGGTGTAATTTCTAGCTATTTAAATTACAAAGTTTGTAATTAAAGGGCACAAATGGATCGAAGTTGGTGTAATTACACACTCGAATTACTTTCTATAGCAACATGTCCAGTATAAATACACAATTACACTCTTGGCAACCAAAGGGACACTCTTCAATTGCATTGTGATCACCAAACAACACACTCATATAATTACCCAACTTTTCAATTACTGTCCCAGTAATTATACAGCCTACAGCCTAGTACATGCACCATGATATCCAAAAACACCCTAAAAGAAGAATATACATAGTATTAAATAAGGTAGGCTGTATGAAATATTTGGTTCCTAGTAATTTGAGATAGCAATGGTAATGCTATATAACTGGTGGTTTAATGTCATTGGGATCCATGGAGTCTGAAGTTTACCCTTTGCTAGCTACCTAGCCCGGCTAATGTGCCCGGGACCAACTCTAGGTTCAACTCTTTCAACATGTGTCAAGAGGGGGCCCTCTATTTTGATTCCTACGGGGGTGGGGGTGGGGAGTTCCACTACATGACAACCTTCATTAACGTATACACCAGCCGGACAACAAGTGTATCGACATTGCACATATTGTTAGGAGCCAACGAGACAGCATCACTTGGTGCAAGACATAACAATGTCTTGAATTTAATATCATTTTGAGAGTTAAGTGTGATCTTTCCCTTTAAATGTAACCATCCAATTGTTGTATCTGACACGCTATCAATACCTACTTGGGTATTTTATGATTCTATCTCTCTAACACTCCTACATTTTGTATACTCTAGGAATGGGATTGGGTCACCATTAATATTGCTCCAACAACCATTGTGGGTTAAGGTCTATGAATATGGACAAATTGATTACCTCGTTAATTGAGTGAAAGGAGAATGACTGAATGAGATTGATTGATTTTGTTAGGTTTTGCATGCTTTTCTTGGCAATGTTTCATATCATTCTGAGTTTATTTTTCACATTGTAACAATATAAGAATATTTGGTTTGGTGACCCGAATGATTTAAGATAATAATCCCTCTGTCCCAAGATAAATTTCACAGTTTCATTTTTGGGTTTCCTAAAATAAACGTTTAATTTCCAAAAGGGGTAAGTTTTCAAATAAGTTTACCCCCTTACCCCCCTTTTTTCATTAAAGTAAATAGCTCCCAAAACATTGTTCCAAAAGCAAGTGAGAAGTTTTTGGAACAGTGTGAGAATATTGTAAATTACGTAAGTTATAATTGCACTTTTACCCAAAAAAACATACATTGCACATAGGACTAGTTACATGATTGTAGGGCTGTGACTATTTGTTATAAATGTTTTTTTGGTAAAAATGACCTTTTTGTTCTCTGTAGCACTCGTTATAGACATATGAGTGTATTTGTTAGTTCTAATGTACTTGTATACTGTGAAATTAAATGGGACAGAAGTAGCTTGGATGAGTTCCTCCAAAGGTTGCTCCATTCATTATTTTGTTGCCTTTTATTTTAAAGGGAACCTCATTGCCTCCTAATGCCAACTTGTGATTTATGATCACAAAGGTGTACTTTTGTGTTTGACAAGCTGCAATGTTGCACAAAAAAGGTTGAAGATGTTCTTGTTCTGTTTAGTAATGTTTTCACAATTTCCGCTTTCCAGACACTTCTTGATGAGGGTTGTGCACTTGTGCTGCTCTGCCTTTTCTCTACTCCTTTAATGGTTTATTTGGGTGGTAGGTTTTGAAGGATTAGGCTTTAGAAGGTTTTGTATATATCTGAGGATTGAGATTTTATTAATAAGGAAAATTAACATAATATGTGATTATATAGCATTTCAATTGTGTTTCTAGAACCTTACAGTTCATGAAGATATAGACTATGTCCTCCAATATCTTCTCCTTTGAAACCCTCATTTCAGACCTATCCTTGCATCATGTTTTGAATGTGGGAGTTTTTTCTCATTCCCTCATTAATTTTGTGTGGGAGTTGATTTCACTGTTTCGTACAACAGGAAATTCCACTATTCATGGCTAGAGGTAAGGCATGCACACTTTCTACCCTCCCCAGACCCACTTGTGGGAATACACTAGGGTTGTTGGTGTAGATGTGGAATAAATATTCTCCCCCATTTCTTCTTATGCATTATTTTTTCCTTGCTTATTGTTCAGAGTCCCCGCCTATTCCATTAACCAATCTGCAACAATTGAATTCCTTCTTTATTCAACACAAATTCTTATTCCACTATTTTGTACATAATCCTTCCCATTTACCACAAATGCAATTGGAATTTGTTAGGATGGAGGGTTTTGAATGGAAGGGTTTTTTTTTTTTGGGGGGGGGGGGGTTAGTGTATATGTAGATATATATTTGAGACTCTGAAAATTTAGAGACTAACATAAATTGCAATTGAATAACATTTAGTTTCTNTTTAGAACCAGTCTATTTATCAAGACATAGACAAGTCCTCCAAACACCTCCATCCAAACAGAGAATTAGAGTAGTTCACATGTTTTTTCTCAGCACTTCTAATTTTCATCTCTGGGTTCTCACCTCTCCTAAGATTCCAGAAAATGTGGCATTCCTCTTCACTTTAGCTGCTGGAAGTCATCTAAGAAGACAAGAGTGCCTTTCACTTGGCTTAAGATGTATAACTAGAGAAAAGAAGCCAGAAGATGTGAAACTCAAGGGGAAGAGAATATATGGGTAAACAACATTTAGAAAACCAATGGAAGTTTTCCCCCTAAACATTGAAAATTTTCTATGTCTTCTTTCAGTCCAGCATTTTTTTGTTATTTGATTTACAACGAGTATAGGTTACTCGGTTAAACATTTACATTAAGGGTACATAAAGGTGGCTTCAGGCTAAGGGAATGCTATGAAGAGATGTTGAAAGGATGTAGAGGATGAAGATGGTTTAGAGAGACTAAATCAAAATTGATCTTATTTAGACATATGAAGAGCTTAAGCTAAAATATATGTAGGAAAGTTGTAGTCTAGAAGAAATAAATCATCATGTGGTACGTAGTTCTAGCTCATTATGTTTACAATAGAATATGTTGTAAGTCACACCTTAGAGGGGGGTGAATGAAGCGTTATATAGCTTTTCCCAACTTATGTGTATTTGTGCATAAGGTGACTTACATGAAATGTCCATAGATGAAATGTGGAAGAATTAAATGCGGTGATCAAAAGCGTAAAGTGCATCAAATTTTATATTGGTTCTGAGATTCCCTACTCTAGTGCCTTCATGCTCCTCTTCAAGGATTTTGAATCCACTTAGTTTCAGTCTTGCAAACTCCGTCTAAGTACCATACTAGTTTGGCAAACATCCTTGCCAATAGGATAAACATCCTTGCTAGTCTTGCAACCACTTTATAATGAAGATTAGCTATTATCTATCATTTCCTCACAGGATTTGAAAGGCGATTAGCTATTATCTATCATTTCCTTACAGGATTTCAAAAGCTTTCCTTGAACATTTTTCAAAGGTTTTCTTGGCTATCCTTCACTGTTACAATTTGAGAATTTATATGGCTATTCTTGATCGTTTTCATGATGAGAATTTAATGGATATTCTCAAACCAGTAATCAAGGGTATAAGAACTAGTATCACTCTATTACTGCCTCTAAAATATAAATACAACAGGGGGTTGGTGTAGAGAATTTGATATACACTCTTTACAAGTAAGAAGTTATCAATTACCCGAGTACTCCGTATGAGTGTATATAAACTATATCACATTCACAAGTTCAAGTGTGCTACAAAGTGTAGAAGATATATGACTAACAATTGCCAAATATGAAGGATTATTGAATAAGAATGTATTGAGCACTTAGGATTATGAAGGTTGAAGTATGAAAGCTTGGATTCCTGGTTATGGGTCCGTGTGGCAACACGTTCAGTGTTTTGCAAAGGTTATATAATGACAACGTATAGTATTGGCGTTTCCAAAGTTAATCTGCACCATTAAAAAATTATCTGCTAATGCTAACTAGAAACGTTGTTTCCAGACCTGGCTTATGATGTGTTTTGGCAAAGTTTATATAGGCAAACTAAGTGTAGTTTTCATTCTGGAGCATTCTGGTCAACAAACCATGGATAAGAAAAGGTATTTAATTTGTCTGCAATTTGAATACTGCTCCCCAACGGTATCGGAACTCAGGTTCTGAGGTACCAAAGCACGTATCGAAATAGTGGATTTCCTTCTGCCAAAATCGAACCAAATTGATCGGGACTACCACCAGGAGTACTGATGGTGGTACTGAGGTACCGATCCAAGTTACCAAATCCGTTGAAAAGGTTCTTGTCGAAATATTCCTATCTTGATTTTAAAACCTTTGGGATAGAAGACACAGATCAATGACGAGTTTATACTCAGGATTTGTCAGCGCTTTGGACTGAGGTCGTAAATATAGGTATATAAAAGCATATTTGTTACAAGAATTCTACATATACTCTACGCTAGTTCGGCATACGACTTTGTTTTGGAGAACCAATACATTAATATATTTGGGTCGTACCTGAAATGCTCAAACAAATGTTAGCTCTTATATTGTATGTTAACATCAAAACAAAAGGGTTTAGCACACCAAGGCTAACATAAGTAGCTTTTAAATAAGAAGTGTCGAGTTGTGCTGTGGGAAAAGTCTCTTTGGTAACTTATGATATTAAGTGTTTGGTGTGATGGGTTGAGAACTCCTTTTGACTGCAAAGCTAACAAACTTAGCCTTGCTGTGTATGTCATTGAAATATGACTGGATTGATGAAGTTAAAGTCAGTAGAAAAACATCCGGAATGTGGTATGACTTTAAGAGGGTATTTGCTCCTATTGAGGCAAGAAAAGAGTTATTATAATAAGGGTTGATTAGATGCCTTAGATTCGGTCTAATTGTTGAATGACCCTTGGGGTTTCTGGAAATTACAACAAATAACCCCTTGCTTAGTCAGATTTTCTGCTAATTACCCCTTTAACACTAGACATTAACACGAATCACTCGTCTTAACTCTTAAGGCTGAATTTGGTGTTTTTAATACATCAAGTAGAGATCCAAACATTGATCTTTTTCTGAACTCTTCTCTCATCTCAGTAAACATTCTGTAATGTGTCAACATAATAAGCTGAATAACCGCACAAAAGAACTTGAAAAACTTGGAATTGCCTGTGTAGCCATCTCTATGCTATATCATTGCGTTCGTAATACTTCCTATCTCCAAACCACCAATTGCTTTGTTTTTTTGCTCCTTTACTTATTTTTTGAGTTTTTCTCTCTTTTCACACTACTTTTCTTGTTTTTCGGGGTTCCTTTTGGATACAACCTCTACTAAGTACTACCTGGGGGTAGAAGTAAGGTCTGTTTTAATAGTGTTCCTGTGAAGTATAAATCTTGTTTGCCAAATCAACTCATTGTCTTGATTTTTAATACCCTTGTCAGTTCAAATTTCCAATTAGGGCAAGCTTTTTGCTGCTAAATTTATATTATGAATTTATATGTAAATTTCAGAATATGAACAATATTTATGAGTGACTTGAAAGAGTTTGTGTGCCTTATTCAAGGACCAAAAGAATCATATTGTAGGTAGTCACTCATAAACATATTAGGACCAAAAGAATCATATTTATGTAAATTTTAGCCCAATATATTTATGACTCCCTACAATATTGTTTCATGTTTGTGTGCCTTATTCAAGGACCAAAAGAATATCCTCTAAACATCCTAAGTTAAAAGAGTCTTGAGATTGAATTTGGTGTTTTTAGTACATTTTTAAGGCTAAAATGAATATGTCTATCTCTATAATGAAAATTTACGGGTGTAATTTAGTCCGACAATCGCAACTCCTACGAGTAATTATCAGTTTTGAGTGTCGTTTGCAGAAAATATGGCGTGTGGAGTGGCATATTTACAATTTCGAGAGATCCCGAGTCATTTGGTAATTTGGCCAAACCTCAGGGAGGTAGATGTAATTAAACCTAATGAGAATCAAGTGCATTGAGCTGAAGTGATCTTGCTGAGATAGTGAGATCTGTTGAGAATCAAATCAGTGTTTGACGTTTGAGTCCTGTTTGGATTGTTTGAAATACAAATTCAAGTTTAAATTTTATTGTGTTGGTTGGCTGGCATGTGTCCAGTTAATCATGGGTGAGTGCCCTACAGAGTACCCCCACACCCCACCCCAGACAACACACTTACAATCATATATCTGAAGATAAGATCCTAATCTTATGAATATATTTTTTTTCTGAATTTTCAAAACAGGTGCTGAAGAAATTGTGTCTAAAGTTCAGAACAGAGTGCAGATCTTCTTTGCTGTATTATTTTGGATGTCTCTTTTCTTCTGGTATTCTATTTGGGATGGGAGAAATGATGGGAGACCAACCAAGAGTTCTCGGTTTAGACGATGATTAAGGCTCTGTTTGGTAACGAAATCTCTGCTCCATGAATAAGTAGCTGCTTGTAAATTTAGTTCTTTCATAGGAATGGATCAATGGATGTTACCAAACACTTTTTTAACTTTTAATGTCTAGATCTAGTAACACCAGCTAAATAACATTTAGAAAGTGTTTGTCATTGATTAAAATTTTCTGAACTTGGCTAAAATTTAGTTGAAATCGGAGTTTAAGGCTCCGTTTGCTACACGGAATTTAAACTATGTTAGAATTGCGTGTACACTACTAGTGTGCACCAGGCTTCTCACAGACAAACACAGATATCAATTGTCTATGAGAAACACAGACAGTTGGTGTCGGTGTATATATGTGAGAAGCTTGGTTTACACTTGGTGTACACCAGTTGGGGTATACCTAAGTTTTTCCTTTATATAGAGAAGAGATAAATACTGCAAACTACGTAATTCTTTCATACGGAGTAAATAGGGTTTTTTTAGAATGCCTCCACATAAGTTATATGGATGATATCCTAAACTCAATAATTTAACCATTAAACAAGACATTAGCAGTCCAATCCTTCATTAGTTCAATCCAGCTACTACTAATCTCTAATACAAACACTGTTTCTTTATGTTTTATTTATCACAACAAACCTATCTTATCCCATGGTTTATTTAAGTCAATGGTGGGATTATTAATGTCTACTAGTAAGATATTTTGGCATACATTCATGGCTCTGCTTGGCCAAACATGGCCCTTGAATATGACCCTCCCCTTTTGAATGGTTTAGATTTCCCAAGCAAAATAATAGGCCTCTAAATGGATCGGGTCTGCACCCGTACTTGATTATCTTATCTTTGAAATGTTTTTGGGCCACATGTTCCTTAAAACTCCGTCCGATTTGTCTTTGTCCTATACACTCACACTCCAAGTAACAAATTACTTCTCATTTCTTAAAGATTTTTTTGTTCACTAAATAAATTATACTTTATGCAAAACGAAATTTTTTTAAATTTTTTTTAAATTTATTTTTTTAAAGATTGATATAGAAACAAGAAATAAAATTTGCATATTTAAAAAGTACGTCAAAAATTCTACAAAACAAGAACTGACAATAATATTTTATTTTATCAAATAATCAATGAAAATTTACAAATTTTTTAGGAGTATATAAAAAACAGATTCAGCAGTTTTGATATTACCTCCGTTTCAAAAAAACAATTTCTATTTGGGAAAAGGTTAGATTTAAGAAATTTATAATTTAGGTTATACTTTTCAATATTATCCTTAGATTTGATGATATATAGATTAACTAATACTCAGTATAATGAATAAATATGATGTGATAAATATGATAATAGTTATAGTGGTAAATATAAGATTTTAATTGAAAGTAAACATATTTTATTAACAGAGTAAAAATGAAAATAGAATTATTTTGTGAAAGGAAGGACATACTCCGTATTTGTTAAGCTTTTCATTTAAAAAAAAGGGATGAGCTCCATCCTTGAAAGCCTTCACACCAGGCCAGATTGACAGAATATAAATTAGACTTTAATCATAGATCAATAATAGAGAATGAAACATGCCCCTCATACTTACAAGATGCTATATGCTTAAGTTTCTCATTTCAATTGGTAGAGTAAAATGCATCAATTTGGTGTGAAGCAGACATGGACTAGGAATATCCACCAACCCAAAGTCCCATACAGAACTCATTACCTCTTATTTCTTCGGTCCAAAGGTGGAATCGCCCACCCCAGGCGCCTCCATCCCCTTGCCCGACAAGAATGGTGGAGGATGTAAATCATGGTGACTCAGTCGGCCAAGAACGCTAGACCCGTGCCCACCGCGCACAAGGAGCCTCCTCACCCTTTATGGGATTTTTGGATAGCTCCCACACTGCCGCTTGCGGGATTCGATCCCTGGTCATCGGTCCAAGATTTCACGCTCTTGACCAACTGAGCTACCCATGCGGGCCATTACCTCTTATTTCTTGACCTGTCTGCCATAGTCATTTAGTAGGTAAAATAATTTTTTCATTCATCTCATTTTTTAATATTACTATTAAAAAACTTACAGAGTACCTCCACCCCAAAAAGTTTTGAGAGTGTATATGGTACATCCGGATGTACCTAGATATAGGTTCATCCGGTAGTACCCATTCTGAAGTAAAGTAGTACTCATTCTCGCATCAACATGAGCATTCATTTTGAAAAATCATGTAACCCATTCTGAAAAAATGTAGTACTCATTTTTCACAAATTTGTACAATATTTATTTACGAATAACCTAATACACATTCTAAAATCTAGTAGTACTCATTCCCACATAGACTAGTACTCATTCTTCAACTAAGCCCTAACAATCATCACCGGCAAAACCCCATCATCATCACATGTCTTCCTTCATCATCATCACCGCATCATCGCAGCTTCTTCAATTCTGCAGAATCATCACCAGCAAAACCCCATCATCATCACTGGTCTTCCTTCTTCATCTTCATCATCGCATCATCGTAAAACCCCAAGAATCGATACAAACGCGAAGAACAAATCTGCACATCATCATTGATCATCATCATCATCGATCCGCACATCATCCCAGATCCGCGCAAACTTCCTATTGGCCAGCCTCTTCACCCCTATTAAACGCCGGCTGTACCTATCTCTATACACAGCCGGATGTATAATATAATTTGTGAATGAAAAGTTTGTCATGAATACTATTTTAGACTTTCAATAATTTTTGTTTGTTTAATCGCTTTTGGTGACCATTTGAGAAATTAAAATATTTCTTGCCGCATTTGTAAAACTTTTGATATACTTTTGAACAGAGTAATTTTCTTAATAAAATGTACCCTAAGTGGATAAGAGTAGAACTGATAAATCGGCCGTTCAGGTCATGTTCGAGTTCAGTCACTTCGAGTTCGAGTTACTTTGGGTTCAGGTCAATTTGGATTCAGGTTGACAACTGTATGTTCATGAGTCATGACCCAGTGTAATCGGGTTCGAATCGATCCAACGGATTATGACTTTGATTTTTGAAATTTTAAAATCAAATTAACACTTGCATTTTGCTTTAAATAAAATTAAGAAATAAAAAAATATGTATTAAATCTATTATATTATACTTCCTCAGTCTCTTAAAGTTCTTTCCATTTTGATTTTTAAGAGAATTAAGGGAGTGATATTTTGTGTTGAGTTTCTAAAAATACCCCTGATGTAATTAGAACGCAACATTACCCCTGAGTTTCAACACTTTTAATACTACCTCCGTCTCAAAAAAAAAATTTATTTGGAAAAAAAGTTAGATTTAAGAGCATTGGCATGGGCGAGTAAAAAAACTGCCTCGCCCTGCCACGAGAGGAGAGCCGATTCTTGCAGCGGCGTGGGAAGAGAGAGGAGGAGTGTGCCATGCATGTCTGCTTTGCGAGGCACCCTGCCTTGCGAGTCATCCGCGAGGCAATTCCAAAGCCCTCCGCCACCGTTAGATCTGCAACCCCAGATCTGCAACCCTAGATCTGCCCCTCCGCCATCCGCTATCTCCAATTTTGCCATGCCACACCTGACTTGCCATTGCAAACCATGGAATGCTATACTCTTTGCACGCTTGATTTGATTGGTTGGAAGGTAACACGTCATCCCATGGCATTCCATTACAATACTCGCCATTGTCAATGCTCTAAGAAATTTATAATTCAGGTGTTACTTTTCAATTTTACCTTTAGATGTGATAATAGATTGATTAATATATTAAATAAATATGATACGATAAATATGATAATAATTATTGGAAGTGTTCTTAGTGGGATAATAATTGACGGAACGACGTGGTCTTGAAAATGATTTACTCCATCTTAGTTTGAGGGGTGAGTAGAGAGTAGACATAGTACAGTGTGATAAGGGCACTTTCCCCCTTATAATTAAAAAAAAGGATGAATCTCGACGTCTCTATCAGATTTGATCGGACCATCACTAGAAGGAATACAACTTATACCTGATACTTGCAGAGGTCATATGTTTACCATAGTTGTCTCCAATGCATTTATTAAGATTCGAAATCAAGATTACCGCTTTGGTATTCCGTACTTTTAATAACTGCGCAATGCACACGGATAGATTTAATTAGATTAGATGGGTGCAAATAGTGCAACTATATGTACATTATGGACCAATTGACCCTACTTTTCTACAAGACGTGTCTCATTGCCATTCATCAATACCATACCCCATCTCCACACCATATGGCCGGTATGGCCCTACTTCTTTACAAGACGTGTCTCATTTCAAATTTTTAAAATTTATTTTATTCAAAGAATGGTATAAAAACAAAAAGTTATATATTTAAAGTTTTTTGAAATAAGAGATGACAATAATATATTATTTTATTAAATAATCAAAGAAAATACACAAATTAACAAAACTTCTTAATTTTTAAATACTAAAATGTGACATTTTATGTTTGGAATCGAGGAAGTATCTTTTAAAGAGTTGTTCTTTCGTAGACATTCTTACACTTTTTTCATGAGTTGGCACGTGAATATATTATTTTTTACAAAAAGCTCAAATCTTTTATAATATATATCAATACACGAAAGTCCATAAGAGGAAAACATATGAGAGGAAAACATACGAGAGTGGTATGGGAAAATAGATATTTCTTCCCTAGTACGTACCTCCCTCCACCTATGAACCTATGATTGTAGATATAATGGGGGAGCAAGTAGTGCTTGTGGTATTGATACAAGTTTCAAAAAAATAGAAGAAGACTCCGTACTCCTTAAAGTAACTCCAACGGGTCATCTAAAATTCAGTAAAGTGTGAAAATTGAAAGATGTAGCCTTTACTCTACATAAAAACGAGCTCCAACGGGTAAGCCATAAAATAGAGTGATTGCTATTTGTTCCGTTTTGTCTTCTATATTTGGAAGCCAGCCTTGCATTAGCTATCGATCTATTTCTTCTTTGATTTCCGATTCTGCTCATCCGCCATCTTCATATAGCTATGGCTTTCGATTCTAGTGCTGCTTCTTCTTCTTGTTCTATTGCAATAGCCACACATTTTATGGGAGGCTTACGGCGGAGTCGGGGGAGGGGTAGGGTGGGGGGTTTAGGGGGTGAGTTAGATGGTAGGAACTGTCAATTTTACGAACGGAGCACCGAAAGTGCCCCAAAATGACAGTGACACCGCTAGTGTCACCGTACTCCGGTGTCACTAGAACCCCACCGTTTTAAAATATATATAACACAATTCAATGTGTAGTAAAAAATTTTGTAATTTATGATCAAAGTTTTAAAACATTGACTACAAAATTCAAAATAGAAAGAAATATATGGGACAAAGGGAGTATTATTAATAGAACCAGATCATAAAAAATCAGATAAAAAATAGCTTTAAATTTAATTATAATCATATCAGTAAGACCATATATATCAGATCTAATCTTATCAGACCTTAATAAAACTAAATCATATCTAACCAAATCAGACAATAAGAACAAGTTCTTTAGTCATCTTGGTGTAATTTGGATGCCTTGCCAAATAAAAAATGAGAAGAAAAATATGAGATTATCCAAAAAGAAAACGGGAAAGAAGATAAGAGACATATATAAAATAACTAATGTTTACCCCGTGCTTCGCACGAGCTCAAACTTTTGAGCTTCTATAAATATAATTTTAGTTGTTTTAGTTTTATAATAGTGGATTAGTTACATGCATAACGATACATCATTAGAGAATGTATACGTGTCATAATGTCACTTATCAGTTGTTACCCTTTAATTAAACAAATTTTATTCTATTCACTTTGTTGAAAAATATATGTAGCATTAAAATAAATAATAGAGTAAGATAAAATTTTTGAAACAAAATATTTAATTAATAAATATGCACATGTGATTAAATTTAAACAATCATTTTTTGAGAATTAATAAACTAAAATAAGTTGTGGATAGTATAAAAATAATTTTATATGTGTGTCTATATATATATATATATATATTCAAAATACAGAGTATATTTTATAATGGTGAAATATATATTTTTATAATTATTAAAAAATGAAAAATTTTATACAAATATATTAAAAGATATTTAAAATGGGTACAATGCATATATCTACTTCATAAATGGGTGTACATGTGGATGCACATGTGGCACGCCACATGTCAACACTACAACAACTAAACTCTATTATATATATATATATATATATATATATATATATATATATATATAGGAATACTTTCTCCGTTCCTAACCGATTGTTACAGTTTGACTTTTTTGGTTAAACTGTGACACATTTGACTGTGAATTATGGAAAGAGTATATTAAGTTATAATGTAAATTTACTAGAATTGGGATAATTTTAAAATATAATTTTGAAAAATCAAATTTTTATAATATTTAATAATTTTAAGTTATACTACCTCCGTCCATGAGTGTTTGTCCAGTTTTGACTTTTTTCGGTCAATTGTTTTCAACCTTTGACCTATAATTAAATAAAATATATATTGTATATTAATTAGATAAAATAATATTTTAAAAATTATTGATATAATAGATTTAATAAAACTATTTTTGTATCAATATCTAATATTATTTTTATTTAATTTGAAGTCAAAGTTTATCATTTTGACTGAAAAAGTCAAAAGTAGACAAAATACTCAGGGACGGAGGTAGTATTTAATTTATGGTCAAAGAGTATTATAATTTATGGTCAAAGAGTATTATAGTTTGACAAAAAAAGTTAAATTGCGTCAATCTTTTAGAAACGGATGGAGTATCACTATTTCCCTCTTTCTACTAACATACGGAGTAATTCTCATGTAATGCTTTCTCTGTTCCTAATTCCTAAAGTATCTTTCTCTTTCAAACAATGTGTAAAATCTCATTTCTTTTAAATTAGTTTTACTATCAATTTGTATAAAAATAAAGAAATAGCTTACATATTTAAAAACCTAATTCAACCATTCCACAAAATAAATCGTGACAAAAAACATATTTTATTTTATTAAATTATCAATAGAAATAAAAATTATCGAAAGTTTGTAATAATAGAGAATAAGATATTTTAGAGATGAAGGTAGTAGTTAAAACTAGTGAGAAAAGGCATATTGACAATTGACATATAGGGATATGAAAAAACTATTTGAGATAATGCATAATGACACAATTGACAAATAGCCAATGTTGGAGGGTGATTTATGGACTATGGTAGTGTTGTGTACTTGTGTAACAGTAACAAAGGAGGTAAACTAAAAAATGATTAATAGAAATTGAGATTTGTTCTACACGTACATAAACTTCATAACGTGAAATTTGCACTGAATATGACTAAAACACAAATCATTTTCTAATGTAAGACTTAAGTTTTTTTATTCCCTAAATATGACTTAATAATGACTAGTGAGAAGAATAATATTCAAGTGATGCTGGACATTTAGTTGAATAATGACTAATGGATAATTTAATGGTCCTACATTGGAAAATTAAAACATATATGATTCTATATTGAGAAAGTCATTACGTTTTAGTCCTATTTAGATAAATTACCCTAACACATATATCATGGTTATCTTTAATTTGTCTCTAAATGCACGTACATAAACTTCATAACATATATCATGGTTATCTTTAATTATTGCCATTGTCATGAATTGAACTTGAATATTATATTATTTTTACTCTTTATCGGGTGTAATAAATATATAGTAAAGGTAAAATAATAAGCTTTTTATCTTTAGTTTTTTTTGTAAAATAAAGGAAGTGATCAGACCTATTGAAAGAGCACACATAAAAGGAAAAATACACAAATTAATGTAACGCCCCAAAACATACCATAGAATTATTAATGAATAAATAATCAATTAATCACAATTGTTTTAATTAAAATAAATTATTGTTGGGCTTTGGGCCGATATGAAATTTGTTTTGACATCTAATATCAAAATCTGGATAAGTCTCATAGATAAATCCAATATGTGGACTATTTGTGTGGTCTTGATTGGGAACTTGAGTACAGACCCAAATCAAGAGTAAAATAAAGAATTTGTTTAGAATGTAAATATTTAAATGATTTGTTGAAATAAATCATGAGAATAATTGATGTGAATTAAATGAGAGGACCTTTTATGAGAAAGGTCAATTAAACCAATTTTTACTCTATCAAAGTCAACCACCCAAAAATATGATGTCGGAAAAAGTATTACAAATAATTATGAAAAGTATGTCGTTGAATAGAATTCGACTGTCTGATCGCAACGGTGCGAACGGATTTCAATTTGGAGAAAGTTGGACCAAAAAGTGTACCCCAACTGGAACCAAAATTGGTCCCAATCAGGGAGACTGTGCAGACGGCGCCCCCTCCTCCACTCAGCCGATCGTGAGTCATTTCCTACGCAGAACTAGCTACAGGATTGTCTTCTTCCTTCTCCATTTTCCTATATAAGGAGGAAAAACCAGCTTTCATTTCTGCACCAAAACTTAGTAAGTTTAGTATCATTTAGTTCCTTGTTTAGTGGAGAGTTCATTGGTGTTGTCAATTTGGTGAGAGGTCGCCGGAGCTGAGAGTAATCGTCGCAGGAAGTTTCGCCGGAAAATTCTCAAAACCTTCGATAAGCTTCGAGGTAAGCCCGTAGATATATCTAGTGACTAGAATGTTC